GGGCCTCCCAAGCGCCTGGGTTGCTGTTCAGGAACTTAAATTAAGTTACTATATTGGGGAAACCCTATTATTTACTATATATATACCCATTATGGTAACTTAATCTAAGTTCCTTAACAGCAACCCAGGCGCTTGCGGGGCTCACGCAGGAACACCAAGGAAGACTTCCGCTGCTCGGGCTGGCAGATCTGAGGGTCATCTTCCATTGCCCATCCCTGTATAACCCTATGCAACCCTATACAANNATGTAACCCTATACAACCCCATGTAACCCTATATAACCCCATGTAACCCTATGCAACCCTATACAACCCCGTGTAACCCTATATAACCGCATATATCCATGACCGGAACACTGGAACTTGACCCAAGTTGTGGCACAACTCCAATGCTTGAGCCTGTAACGCTTTGCAGCACCAGCGTTCCAAGGCCGATCCCGGAACCAAACCACTTGGTGACATGGGGGTTCCCCAGAATTAGGGGTACCCTTTTGGGGACCCCAATAATAAGGATTATAGTATTTCGGGATCTATATTGGGGTCCCCCTTAGGCAAACTACCACATTGATGCTGGCAGCACATTGCACAAAACCTGCCCGGCGCACCCCTGCGGGATCAAGCAAACCTGGCAAGGGCTCATTTGGGTTGGGTTGCTAAGGAACTTGAATTCAGTTACCAGAATATGGATATACCGACCCTAAACCCTAAACCCTAAATCCTAAACCCGAAATCCTAAACCCTAAACCCTATACTTATGACCCATTGTAGTAGTTTCCATATTCTTTTCCACTATCCCAATATAACCCCAATAGGGTAGCACCTTCAGCCCCAAACCCTAAACCCAAAACCATTCAAGTTCAGTAGCAGCAACCCAGTCATGTACTGTAGTCCTTTACAGTCTTTTCCTGCCGTGCCACTCGGTCCCAACCGTATCGAAAGATGTGAATTAGGAAGACACCCTACCGTTTAATAGTGGTATAGTAGGGATATAATAGGACTCTAAGATCATCCTTATTATCCCTTATAGTCACTATCACAGGGTGGAGGGGGTGTCCTAAGATGTGAGTAACTTCTAGAAAGACTGTTCGGACCTTGCGTATTTGGTGCAGGGCGGCTTCATACTTAGATGTAACCAGCTAGTTAACGGAACATGTGGGAATTCGGTTTATTACCATAACTTAGGGTTGGGTGGGGGGTGTCATTTTGGTTTTAAATGCTAAAGTTAAGGAAATTTGGGTACCCTAAGTAATGATAAGCATACATGGGCTTGCGGGTTTAGGGTTTAGGGGTTAGGAGATGCATATCAATCACTAAGCACCCCCCCACCCCTTGCCTTGAATGCCTTCAGACCAGGGGGCAGGAATTCATGCTGATAGTAATATGCATAGTACTGGCATTTTCCTTACTAAGCCGTAATCCGGCTCTAGGCCCTATGGCGCAGTGGCAGCTCATAAAGGCAACGAGAATAGGGCGAACCTGCGACTTCCAATGATCACTTCAGATCAGGGGAGTTTTCAAAATAAGCTGTTAGGGTTTAGGGTTTAGGGTGTAGGGTTTAGGTATAAGGACCAAACAGTTTTTGGGCTGCACATAGGGCACCCCATTGCTCAGTCCCTGAACCTGAACCCGATGTATCTCCTGGAACCCCTTTCTCTTGAAACACCCCTAAAAACCTTTTCGGTACCCCTACCGGGTAACTTCCCTAAATAAGGGGACCCGATCACCCCAAAGTACTACTACTCTACTGCTTTTTACAGAAACTGCCAATAAAGGCACACCCAAATTTGGGGAAACCCTAAACCCCAAACCCTTTATTTATATATAGATATATGTATATGTATCCCAAAGACCCTTTCAAAATACCCCGAATCTGGAAAACCTCATTTGGCCCTAAACCTCTAAACCCCTCTAGACCCCTAAACCCCAAACCCCTAACACTACACCCCCAAGCTTAAACCCCTAAACCCTAAACCCCTAACCTTCTGAAACCAACTTGGGGAAATTTTTAAGTATCCCAAAGGCCAACCCAGTAACCCTAAACCCCTAACCCTAAACCCCTAAACCCCTAAACCCCCAAACCCTAAACCCCTAAACCCCTAACCCTCTAAACCCAAAAAACCGGTGGGACTGTTTAACAAGCCGGGTTAGCAGCCCGCCAGACATCCTCGGGTTTGTGGACGGGCTTGCCGCCTGAGGTTCTAGATGATTTAGGGGCTATATAGGGATAAGGGGGTTAGGGTTTAGGGTTTAGGGTTTAGGGTTTAGGGTTTAGGGTTTAGGGGTTCAGGGTTTAGGGTTTAGGGGTTCAGGGTTTGGGGGGTATATGGGAGCTGTAGAGGGATAATGGAAAAGAAAATGGAAACTACTATATTCTGGGTTTATACAGGGTTCAGGGCTCAGGGTGTGGGGTTTAGGGTTTAAGGCTTAGGCTTTGGGATTTAATTTAGGGTTTAGGGTTTGGGGTGTGGGGCGTAGGGTTTAGGCCAAAGGCACCCCAGGTGCCTGGTATGTACAGCACCTGTATATGGGCAATGGGGCCAGGTTGGAGGCTTTGGAGGTTTTAGGGTCTGGGCATCGGGGTCGAGTCTATAGTCCAGCTTAAGTAGATAGAATATGGAGTATATGCGGATCTTATGCTAATATACCCAAAGCCATATTCTATCTACCTAAGAGGGGCTATACCCTTCTGCCCACTCCTCCAACTAAAACCTACGGAACGCATCTGTAAGATGAGCTGTTTCTGGTTGCGAGGGACTGCACGTGGATGGCTGCGGGATCTCGTAGGTTTGCAGTATTCGTAACCTTTCAAGAACCGTGAACCGCGAACATTGTAATTGGCAGTTTTCCTGGCTTCTAAGAGCTGTAGTTGACCGTATTCTTTAGCATTTTAAGAACCACAAATATTGCAAGTTGCAATATTCCTAGCTTTTCAGCTGTAATTTACAGTATTCGTACATCTGTACTTTACAATATTCGTAGCCTTATTAGAGCCGCAACCAAAGACCCAAGAGACCAGGGGACCAGGGATGTCAGGGAGCCACACCTAAATATTTAGGGTTTAGGGTTTAGGGTTTAGGTTTTAGGGTTTAGGGTTTTTAGGGTTTAGGGTTTAGGGCCACCTCTGGGAAATTACCCTGGCACCCTTCTAAAGGTCTAGGGTTAAACTCGGCGGCCTGACGCATGGGTATAGAAACCCTCAAATCATTAAATTGCAAAAACATTGCTCAAAAAATTGGGATTTGAATATGCGCCACCTCCAGAGGGCACCGTTCCCAAATGCGAAAAAATGCTACCTGAAAATGCTCTGAGAATGCTCCCTGGCCATGGGTTCAGTTCTCTTCGCTGAAACTTAAACGATACAGCCAAGAATGCCATGGTGACTTGTGTTTCAAAGAGAATTTCACTTTGGGTTGCCCGCAAAGACAGCATTCTCACAGAAAATGCATGTTTTTGCGTGCATTTTGCACTTGTACGCAGCTTTTGTGCATTCTCTATAGTGAATTTTCATGTTGCATGTTTTCGCATTTTTTGCATTCTTAATTTTTTCAGACCACCAAATACCTGTGCTTACCCCGCCGCCCATACGTCTAGGGTTTACGGTCTACCCCAAACTTCGAACCGTACACCCTAAACAACAAAACCCGAAGCCCTGAACCTTAAACCCTAAGCCAACACCACCTAGACCCTAAACTGTAAACACTAAACCCTGAACCCCAAAGCCTACATCCCAAAAGCCTGAACCCCAAACTAAAGCAGCCCAAACCTGAACCTAAACCCTGAAACCCTTCAACCCAAAAACCCTGAACCCAAAACAGCGCAAACCCTAAAGCACCAACCCTAGGGTTTAGGGTTTGGAGACCCCCCCGATCTCTGAAGCCCCATGGCCCCAAAACCTTGAAGCGCAAACCTCAAATCCTACCCCAAACTCTGAACCATGAACGCAAGACCCTAAATCCCTGAAAATCCCCAATTACGCCTAAATTTCATATCTTACAGCAGAAGCCTGAACCCGTGTCCTAAATCTCAAGCCCCATATCCCTAAACCCCGACCCCCCGAATCCCTCAACCCCATAATCCTAAACCCCATACCTCTCAACCCTAATCCGAAAGCCCTAAACCCCAAACCCCCTAATCCCTAAACCCCATAATCCTAAACCCCATACCCCTAAACCCTGATTCAGTCACCAATGAAGGCCAAACCCTCTCCCCGAACTGTTGGTCTGCCTGAGCTGTTGGACCGGGGCGGATAGAAGGTCTGCATACCCCGCTGGGCGCCCCGATTCAGGGCTCAGGGTTGGAGGGCGAAGGGTTTAGGGTTTAGGTTTCAGGTTGGAGGCTAAGGGTCTAGCATATAGGGATAATATAGGGTTTATTGGGGTTGTATAATGGTAATAAGGGTGTATAGTGGTTATATAGGGATAATGGAAAAGAAAATGGAAACTACTGTAATGGATTATATAGGGATTAGGGTTTAGGATCTAGGGTTGAGGGCTTAGGGTGTAGGGCCTGGGGTTCTGAGTTTAAATTCACCCTAAACCCTAAACCCGAAACTGCGGTTCAGGGTCTAGGGTTAAGGGCTGAGGGTTTGGGGGGAAAGGGATTCTGGGCCTATGAGCTTCGAAGCTTCAAGAATGTGTAGGCTTGAGCCAGAAGGATGGGAGCGTAATTCTATAGCCCACTAGTCAGAAATGCCAGAAGGGTTTAGCCTTAACAGTTGCAGGTGGATAGCCTTGATACTTAGCAGTTCCTCTGGTATTACAGCTTGTGCAAAGGTTGTTTTGGGAAACCCCGATTTCGTCGCTTTGCTTCCGTTCAAGAATGACACTTTGAAACAGCTTGACTGCAAGGCAGCTGCGGGACCAGCTCGCGCATCAGCAGCGAAAAACTCCGCATCCTGTCGCTATGCTCACGCTCGAACCCTAAACCCTAGAGAGTGGCACAGGGTTGATGCCAGCCACCCCCTTGAAGGAGACGCCAATACCACACACCCCAACAGGCCCGCATCCCCCCCAATAGCCCCACATGGGCTCCAAGTGCCCGTAATTAAGGGGTTTGGGTTTTGGAAGACTCCTTCAGGGGGGGCTCATATGATAATCTCAAAACTACTAGGGTATCCCCCTTAATAAGCCCTTGTAGTACTCCCCTACACAACCTCTTGAGGGAGTTTACACTATAGCTCATACTAACCCTAAAGCGAGTGGGTCACGAAGCTTGAGATCCTGGACCCTAAGCCCGAAGCTTGCAATCATAAACCCCCTAAATTTGAAGAACTCCTAAGCCGAATTCCCGAAACTTGAAATCCTAAACCCTGCGCCCTGAACTTTCACTTCAAAAACCGCAAGCTTGAAATCCCAAACTCTCGGCCCTCAACTTGAAACTGAAAACTATTGGAAACCCTAGGTCCCTTTAAA